TAGCTACTACTCCATGTTTTATCAATAAAACGTTCTTTTATCTTTTGGAAAACAATGATGTGTATTATAATCTCGAGTGTAGGTGAGTTATGGTATATAAAAAAAAATGATTATAATAGAATAGGCTCGTAATTAGTTAAATGATTACATGTTTAAATAGTTTTAAGTAAAGTCTCCTAGACACGCACATTGGCCATTGGTTGTCTCGACAAGGACCGGTTAAGGAATTGTACTTGTTTTGTGTCTTTTTCAGTCTCACATGCTTCCTTTCTTTCTTGTTCCTTCTTTGTTCCTCATTTCATCAACACTTATGTTTTCTTGTTTCTATTATATATCTTTGTTACACTTTGGCCGATATGATGTTTTCTTAATTTTATATCTCAATATGATCTCATCCAGTTTCGAAGAATCCCCCGTATATATTGTTTCAAGTTGGACCATGTATATACTTGTACAAAAATGGAATCATACAAAACAAACTTATATAAACGGTACAAAACACAAACTCACATAAAAAATGACTTGTTTGTTTGATTGTTTGAACACAAAAATATTTGTTTTGTTTCTACATGTTAAAATAGCATGTATTTGATCATTAAAAAGGGCACAATATTACCTTACAATTTTTTTTTTTTATCAAACATCATTTACTCCTCATACAAATAGAATAATTTGTCGTTTTGCATTTCCAATTTATGATGGTATAGCACTAATAGAAACCAAAATTTTTTTGATAAATTGAATCAATAAGATTACCAAGAAAATAAACACAAACATAAGTGTGATGGTATTGTGGTTGATTATCCGAATTTCAAATCATAATTCTGTAAATGTTTCAAAAAGTGCGGTTTTCAAATCATAATTCTGTAAATGTTTCAACAAGTGCGGTTATGAGCATGAAACACAATGTGTATGGATTTGAAGTTTTCTAGAAACCAAAATCGGTTTTATCTACATAACAACTCTTTTTAAATGAAATGTGCAAAACAAACTATTTTTCTCTATGTAGCTTGCGGTCTTCCTAAACTTAATTCCGTTTATTTGTTTCAAGTTCGATTCTTCCGAACAAAGTGATCTTACTTTTTGGATCTCGGCTTGAATGCTTTATCCGATATGTGTTTGAAGGAAGCTTCTTGGTAAAAACATGTTTATCTTCGGATTAGTCTAAATTGGTCCGGATTCCAATCTTACAAAAAGAGTGTTACAGTAATATTCATAATAGATGGAAATGAATCTTATAGAATGAGAGTTATAGGGATGTGTGCAACGAGAAACAGAAAAGAAAAATATTAAAGAGAAATGAAAATTCGCACGGGCGAGTCAGAGATTCAGCTGCTCAGGCTCAGGGAGAGACAATTAGAGCTGACACAAAAGAAAAGAAGAAAGAAGAGATTCACGCGGTCGAAACTCAACACTGTGTTTCTGTGTGGGTGTGGGGTCCCACACGTGACCTGCCACGTGAAGCATTGTTGCCTATGGGTCCCTCGCACGTGCGGCCCTCTCCTCTCACACGCGTACGGCACTTGTTCTTTCCTTGTGAAGGGACCACCGTTAATATATATACCTATAAGCTTGCGCCACGTGTCTACTCCACACTGTGAATGTTTTTTGTTGTAAGCTGCATTTTTGTCGTATGGTCATTTATCATTCAACAAGAATCCACGGATCTTTGATCAAATCAAATCAAATCAAAGTAGAGAGCCCTGACAAAGTTTTTATGTTACATCATTTTCATTTCTTTTTATCCACTTGAATCCATTTTTCAAGATGTTAGGAAATTTATCTTAATGTTTAGACGCAATTAGCGATTTAGATTTTGTGGTGTCGGAAAATACAATTGGTTTTAGATCTTTGACTTGAGAGTGAGTTACGTGATGAAACGTTTTGAGTACAACTAGAGGACATTAGCCTAACACTAAATGTAGCGGTTTTTCAAAGACTATGACATAAATATGATTGAGAATTATTAATTTTGTTCTGCATTATTATGATTATAAAACATTGTAGTTTACAAACAAACCACCACAGGCTCAATAGTCTACATGCCAAGTGGGTGGAGACGAGACGAGACGACATTATCTAAGCACAATTTATTTATTTTGAACTCACAGATCGAGTTTTTTTTTTATTTTCCGTTTATCTCGAGCAAAGTTGAAGAGAAATTGACTGATCAAGAAGTTGTAAGTAACCAAATTTCGCTCACCTCACACAATCTAAAGAGGATCTCTCAGAAACAGAGAATTCAGATGTACAGTTTCTGCTGCATTCATTTCGAGTTCAGGCGTTGTATGTCTACAAGCTGGTAAAGATCTCCGCGCCGCTGCTTATTCAACGGAAGGCTTGTCCTGAGATGGTCAAAAACAAGGTTTAATCAGCGGATTATGCAATGAAGAACAGGATTTTAGAAAAAAAGAAAAAACAAGAATGTTATGGTGCTCTTATGATTTACCTTCGTTGTTCAAGAACAGAGTAATCAATCTCTGCTATGATAATGGCCTCCTCGTGCTCAGTCGTCGCTAGTACTTCTCCAAACTGTCAAATATGCAATTTTTATGTTCACGAGTTTAGTGCTCAACTAAAGCTTCATTATCAATCAAGTAACACGGAAAAAGTTTAGTGCTTACAGGCCCGACGAGTGTAGAGTGTCCCCAAGCAGTGTAGCCAGCTCCCGAATCTCTGGCAGGTGAGCACGTCGCCACATATAACTGGAGAACGTAACATTACATAGTTTTATCAACTGCTCCATGACTTTAATAGAGTCGATACAGTAAAACTCTCAGAGGGCAGAAGAAAATACTTGTATTGATAACTCAAAGAGAAATGCAGGTTTTCTAAAAAAAAATGTTTATCAAGAAATTTCTCAAAACTTGTACTTCTCTTTGGGTTATCAATACAAGTATGTAACTCGGTTCACGTACCTGATTATCCGTAGCCCTGAAATGGTACAAAGACAGATCGAGTAAGCGTATGTGATTTACCATGATTGACTAAGCCAAGCAAGTTTCGAAAATTAGTAGACATTGAATTATACCTTGCCCTTTGTAATAATTCCCAATGCAACGGTCCAGTTGTCGTGTTAAAGGCTCCGGGGTAGCACAGCAAATGAGCCCCTGCAATAAATAGAGCAAACACGTGGACGATCAGGTTCTTTAAAATGCTAATGGACCCGGGGAAGAAAAAGACGAAGCAAGAAGTCCATATGATATAAAGACTCACCTCTTGCAGCATATATCATAGCCAACTCCTGGAACCGGATATCATAGCAGATCCCTATTCCGATACGCCCCACCTCTGCAACAACCAACAAAACCATTACTCTCAAGGGGTATAACGCATTATAGATTTCTCTCAAGTACTAGACAGTGTGAGGTGATGTGAACAGTCCTACTATGACCTCATTACTCATCAAAGACATTTCCTAGTCAAAATAGTTTTCAAGGTCTTTAATATTATTGGTGAACAAGTTCTCTTCTCCATGATCATTCGTAAACACTAGGTCTGTACGCCAGCATGAAAATGAATCATTTCACCGTTTAGCTAAGAGATCCCAAATATGATTGGGGATATAAACTCCTATATCCTAAATCTAAGCCAATTACTTTTCAAGATACTAGAACAATAAGTTTACGAGAGATATGATTGTTTATGCAAAGCCTGGCAAATATTATTAAGCAAAACCATATCGAAACCTGTGTCAACGATTGTTGGTGACTCTCCAGCAGTAAGAGTTTTTGATTCCATAAAAGTAATCTTCCCGGGAATGTCTATATCAAATAAATGTATCTGTAGGCACAAGTCCAAAGAATACCACGTACAAACCAATCAAGAACAATTCCAAAGAAAACCAAGTACAAAACAATTCCAAAGAAAATCAAGTACACAACAATCAAGAACAATTCCAAAGAAAATCAAGTACAAAACAATCAACAACAATTGATTACTCGTTATATAAAACATGCACGCTCAAGGCATTTCGCCGCATATTAGTCCTTAGGCTCTTGGAGGAAGAACTCGTGCCAGAACATAATTAACACATAAATCTTATAACTGATTACCCTAACAATTGATGACAATATCTACAAATCTTCTCAGCCTTGGGCACGATATGGCCTTTAAATCTCAAAAGACAAATCAAGATCTTAGAAGTGAAATTTAGCATCCTTTAAACAAAGATTCTACGGCCTAAAGCAGAGAAAAGTTCATTATTTTCTTCTATGGAAGTTTAATCCGTGAGGAAAAATACCAAACCTTTCGATGCTTAGCTTTAAGCTCTCCATCAGGACCAAAGACACAGCAAGTGTTATACAAACGATCCCCAACTCTTTCAGGTATAGAGCCACCAATGATTGTAATCTTGAGACGTTTAGAAACTTCAGAAAGCATTGCTGTTGAAGGAGAAGCATCACCACCTGCATCAATGTCTTCCGCATAAACTGGAAAACTATCATTCGAATATGGACTGTTCCAAATCTCCTGAAACAACCAAACACATTGAATCGATTCCAAACCCCATTTAGACAAGATCACTAGCTTATACTTCTTTCAAACAAAACAATCAAAATCTAGAAGCAAACTCACGGGTAAGAGAACAAGCTTAGCTCCTTTAGAAGCAGCTTCTTCGATTGCGTTCTTAGCGTGAGAAATGTTTCTCTTTTTGTCACCAGTCACAGATAACTGACACAATCCGATGTTGAACTACAAGGAAAACGAAAGATCAAATCAAAAATCACGAATTTGATCGAAAACCCATGAAAGAAAATCGAAAAAAGGAGCTGACTTTGGTCAACGGAGGAGACGGGAGGGGAAGAGCAGAGGGGACTCTGGCTTGTTCGGGTTTGTAAGAAGATGCCATGGAAGAGATTGATCTTCGAGCTGAGGTTGACGAAGAAGGAGAGTGTTTCAAGGTGATCGATCTCAGAGATAATTTAGGGAGGAAAATGGATTTGAGGGAGGTGAAAGGAGAAAGAGGATTAGGGTTTAATAGATACTTGGAATTGAAGAGTGACGATGAAATTGCCGACTTCATTACACA